TCTTTCATATTTAATTATATATACACGTCTAAATAAAATTATAATTTTATTAGATTAATTTATTCATTTTTCCTAAGAGCCACCATTATCGTTATTATTATTATCATCATCATCGTAGTAGTCATAGAGGAATTAAAAAGGAATCGTGATTAAAAAAAAAAAAATTAAAAACATAATATTTATTCAATGGAACCGGAATTCACGTCTCCCCAAACATTAAAAAATAACGACCATTAAAACTTTTTACTAAAAATATTATCCGCACGGATTATTTTTTTATCGTCGTGGAATTAGTACATCCATATATATAAACCCCGAAAGGAAAAACAACGTAAGAAAGAAAACGAATGATATAAATAAAAAAGTTGCATTTATAACGTGAATCATACCTTTTTAAAAAAAAAAAAATGGAGAATATATATATATATATTAATGTAAAAGAGAGAGAGAGAGAGAGAGAGAGAGAGAAAACCGGAAAAGGAAAGTAGTTAAACGACTTCTTAAAAAAATAATTTATTTATTTATTTATTATAAAGTTTTAATGCGGGAAACCGTTTTGCGACGACGAACGTCTTATTACACGTTTTTGTTACCTTTTGCATTTTTTAAAAAAAAATTTCAACGGGTGCCGCCATTTTGACGACTTGAAATAAAATAAATTAAATTTTTCAAATTGGAACATTTAAAAATAAGAACAAGTTCAAAGAGGTTAAAAATCGTAGGCGGAATTTAATAAAAAAAAAGAAAAATGAAACAATTAAAAAAAAAAAAACTAAATTCTTTCCTTCGGCACGCTCGATACTTTTTTATTCAACAATCAAAGGAAACTCCTAAAAATTTATTATTATTATTATTATTATTATTCAAAATGGCGGACGAATATTTACCTCAGTTTATTTTTAAACAATAGTAAAACTATCCTACTTGTGATATTATCCGCCATTATCCGCCATTTTAAATTATTAACTTGTATATAAATTTTCTCTTTTTAAGAACCAACGACTCTAACTTTTCTATATATTTCAAAACTATGATAAATAATAATAATAATAATAATAATAATAATAATAATAATAATAATAATAATAATAATAATGATAAAATAAAATAAAAGGCCGAAACCACCACCACCACCCTACTACTACTACTACTACCACGTGTGTAAGAGAGAGAAAACGGGAAATTTAATTACTAATTATTAGTATAATTACTTTTTTTTTCGTAACGCTTTTTATTATTATCCCTACTATTATTATACATGGAAAACTTTTAAAATTTACGTGAAAAAAAAAAATGGTTCGAAAAAATAATTCCTGCATTTACGTACACAAAATGTATATCGTAAATAATACTTTTTTTTTCTCGAAAAATGTCTAAATTGTTATTTTCGTGATCGATAAAAAGGAAGGGGAGAAAGAGTGAGAGAGAGAGAGAGAGAGAGAGAGAGAGAAAGAGAGAAAAAGATTCAAGGTACAAGCAAACAAACGCGGCGGGGACGGACTGACTGACTGACTTGGTTGGAAAATGTAAAAAAAAAAAAA